ATAGATCATGAGGTATTTAGTTGAAAAAGGTGAATAATGGTAACCAAGTTACGCTGCAGTTCAAACATAACGCACAAATTGTACAAAGAGGTAGTTGAAGATCAGATTTATAGTTGTATAATTAAGACATGGGTAGTAAAAGACATTATTTTGTACAAAATGACTAACATGGAAAATGAAGAGAAAAGGATAAAGGGGTAGTATCTGTTGAAATATTAAATTAGAATAGATTTGATTAGATTTAATATTTAAATATAATCCAAGTTGTGTTAGCCAAAGCCCAATTAGGGTTGTATATAAATAGTCATAGTGTGTATCATTATTTGTACAATTCAATAATACAAATCCTTATTTCCTTTATTATTCTCTCTTTCTCTCCTCACTAAAAGTGCCTCACGCACTAACAAATTGGTATCAGAGCTTCCGATTATTGTCCTTGATCAAGATTTCAAGAATTTCACATCAGAGATCGTGTTTTTAGGACAAGTGAATCAACCGCTGCGAAGATGGCTAGTGATAAGGGAATTATGAATTCTCTTTCAATGCTTGACGGAAAAAATTGGATCCGATGGAAAAAATAGATGCAATACTTGTTTGGCTTCCATGAAACCCTAGAAGTGGTTACCGATGGTGTTCTTGCATTGACTGCAAATGCAACCGACAAACAGAAAAAAAAGCCCACAACGAAGTCAAGAAGAAAGATTACAAGGCTGCTCATTGCATTCAAATGGTTGCCGATGCTGCTAATTTCGACAGAATCTCTCATGCTGAAACGACGAAGGAGGCATGGGGTATTCTGGTGAAGTATTACGAAGGAGGCGAGTAAGTCAAGGTTGTCAAATTACAAACCTTGCATCGACAATATGAGTTGTTATCGATGGGAGAAGATGAAAAAGTTGCAGAATATGTGTCGAAGGTTCAGAAACTCGTTCATCTCATGAAGGGTTATGGTGAAACCATTACTGATAAGATGATAGTTGAGAAGGTAATGAGAATGTTGACCTCTCACTTTGATCATGTTATCATAGCTATTCAAGAATCTAACAATCTTGAAACCACTAAAGTGGAAGATTTGGTTGGTTCGTTGGAGGCGCGTGAGATGAGGATTATCAAAAGGAAAGGAGTTCAGGACTCGATACAGGAACTGCAAGCTCAGTCATGGAAAATGGATGGTGGTTCCAACAAATTCAAAGGTAAGTTCGATAAGACTCATGACAAGAAGTCTTGGTCGAATCCCCATAAGAATAAGGTCGAAGATAGATCTTCTGAATCATCGAAAAGGGGAGGAGGAAACTATCGAAAGGACAAAGAAGATAAGAGAGATATGCAGTGTTATAAATGTGAAAAGTGGAGACACTTGGCCAAGAACTGTTGGTATAGAAAATACAAGGGATCAACAGGCAAGGACGAAGGAGCGAACCTTGCACGTTAAGATTTAGATGATTCTGAAGGTGGTATGATGGTTATGGCTGCAGTTGCAGATAACCATGTAGAATCTAAGTTTTGGTTTCTTGACTCAGGCTACTCAAACCATATGACTGGTCGAAAAGAGTGGTTGGTAGATTTTGACGAGTCGAAGAAGAGCAAGGTAAAACTTGTTAATAATAGTTCATTGCAAGCAGAAGGTACTGGCAACATAGTCTTTCAAATGAGTAATGGAGGGAAAGATATGATCAAATATGTGCTCTATGTACCTGGAATGAAATGCAACTTGCTAAGTGTTGGACAACTAGTCGAAAAAGGTTTCTCAACTGTCATGAAAGATGGAGTTTTGAAATTGTTCGACACCAAGAACAATTTGGTCTTAAAATCTCCATTGTCTAAGAACATGACATTTAAGACTATGATCAGTTCGACAGAAGTTCAATGTTTGAAAATTATTGTCGACCACAAGGATAGTTGGTTGTGGCATTTGAGGTTTGGACACTTGAATTTTCGATCACTTAATAAACTAATTACACAAGATATGATTACTGGTATCCCAAGCCTTGAGATGTCTGAAAAACTTTGTGAAGGTTGTTTAGTGGGAAAATAATCCAGAAATTATTTCGTTTCGACTATGTCAATGAGATCATTCTGCATTCTCGAAGTGGTGCATTCAGATGTATGTGGTCCATTCGAAGAACATACAATTGGTGGAAACATATATTTTGTTTCGTTTGTCGATGAATTTAGTCAAAAGTTGTGGATCTATGTGATCAAACGAAAGGACGAAGTATTCGAAATCTTTAAGAGATTCAAGATACTTGTCGAAAACCAGAGTTAGAAGAAGATCAAAGTTTTGCAAACAGATGAAGATGGCGAATACACATTCAAGATGTTTGAAGATTTTTGTGCATAACATGGTGTTGATCATGAGGTAACTGCTCCTCATACACCTCAACATAATGGAATTGTTGAAAGAAGAAACATAACCATATTAGATATGGCGAGATGCATGCTGAAGCAAAAGAATTTTCCAAAGTATTTACAGGGAGAAGCTGTTTCGACTGCAGTTTATATTTTGAATAGGCGTCCTACTAATATATTGAAGAACAAGGTTCCTAAAGAAGTGTGGAGTGGCAAACGACCATCAGTAAGTTGTTTGAAGGTGTTTGGCTCTATGTGTTACAAGCATGTTCCTGATGCAAGGAGAATGAAGCTTGATGACAAGAGTGAACCTATGATTCTGGTAGGATATCATAAAATTGGTGCATACAGACTATTCAATCCAGTTAATGAGAATATTGTGTTGAGTTGAGATATTGTGGTTAATGAAAATTCTGCCTCAGATTGGAATTCTAGCAACAAGCCATTAATGAACTTTGATTTCGACGAAGAAACTAATGAAGTAGAGCTCGAAGGAATTATTGAGAATCCAGTCGAAGGAATTGTTGAGAATTCAGTCGAAGTCAAAGAAGAAGCAGTTGCTGACACTCCCGACACAGTCAAAGTCAAAGAGGCTGTGGCTGAAACAAGCCAAAGACCTCAAAGAAATAGAGTTCTTCCAACAAGATTTCATGATTATAAAGTGGTGGGTGATGATGAAATCACACCAGATGAAGAATTAGTTCATTTTGCTTTACTTGAAGGTGCTAAACCAATCAACTATAATGAAGCTTTGAAGATTAACAAGTGGAAGTTAGCTATGGTCGAAAAGTTACCTGCAATTGAAAGAAACAATACATGGGAGTTAGTCGAATTGCCAACACATATAAAAGCTATCGAAGTAAAGTGGGTGTTCAAGTTGAAACACAATGCAGATGGGTCAATAGCAAGACATAAAGCAAGATTAGTAGCTCGAGGTTTTCTTCAAAGAGCAAGACTCAACTACTCTGAAGTATTTGCTATAGTAGCAAGATTAGAGACTGTTCGACTAGTGGTAGCATTGACATGCAATCAAGGGTGGTCGACATTCCATCTATATGTGAAATCAGCATTTCAGAATGGTCCTTTAGACGAAGAAGTTTATGTCACACAGCCTCATGGGTTTGTGATTCAGAAGGAAGCGAGTAAAGTATTTAGATTACAAAAAGCACTCCATGGCCTCAAGCAGGCACCTAGGGCATGAAACAAGAAGATCGACTCATACTTAGTCGAATTGGGATTTGTCAAATGCAAATCAAAGTATGGTGTCTATGTTCAAGTTGTAGTACAAGATATAACAATCATCTGCTTGTATGTTGATGACTTGCTAGTAATTGAAAATAGTTTGGAGAACTTGTTGAAGTTCAAATAGTTAATGACGAAGGAATTTGAAATGTCGGATCTAGGAAAATTATCTTATTTTCTAGGCATGGAATTTCAAATGTCGAAGCAAGGTATGATGCTACATCAAAGAAAGTATGTCAAAGAGATACTTAAGAGATTCAAAATGGATGATTCGAATCCTGCATCCTCACTGTCGAACCAAATGTGAAGTTGGAGAAGAATGAAGAGGAAGACAAAGTCGATGTAACTTTGTTCAAGCAAATTGTGGGATCTCTGAGGTATGTGTATAATAGTCAACTTGATATAGGTTTCACAGTCAGATTAGTAAGAAAATATATGTGGGATTTAAAGGGTTCAATAAATTGTGGAATACTATTTCGACGAGATTCTAAAGACAAAGAAGCAATAGTTAATTATTTTTCAGATGCTGATTGGTGTGGAGATAAGGAAGGTCGAAGAAGCACAACTAGATATTTATTTCAAGTATTTGATGCCCCAATCTCATGGTGTTCGAAGAAGCAACCTGTAGTGGCATTTTCATCATGTGAATCTGAATATATAGCAAGATCCTATGCTGCATGTCAAGCAATTTGGAGCAGATATGTACTTGAAGAAATGACTGTCGAAGTGAAGAAACCTCTAGTATTGCAAATCGATATCAAGTCAGCCATAAATCTGACGAAGAATCTAGTTCTGCATGGAAGAAGTAAACATATTGAAGCAATGTTTCACTTCTTGAGGAAAAAAGTAAATCAAGGTGAACTTGAAGTTAGACATTGCTCAAGTGAAGCACAGTTGACCGATATTTTCACCAAATGATTGAAGATCGTCAGATTCCTGGATTTGAAAAAGAAATTAGGAATAATTCAGATTGACTATTTTTGAGGATGTTCAACAACTTTAGATTATGAGATGTGTTGAAATATTAAATTAGATTAGATTTAATATTTAAATATAATTCAAATTGTGTTAACCCAAATCCAATTAGGATTATATATAAATAGTCATAATATATATAATTATTTATACAATTTAATAATACAAATCTTTATTTTATTTATTATTCTCTCTTAAAGTGAATCAAGCACTAACCATATCAAGAACTTCGAAGGTATGTTTTTATATGGTAGATTTGTTTCAAAAGAAAAGTCTAGAATCGTAGACTCTCTCATAAAAGACTACGTGGCGGGAATATCGGCCGTTTGTTAAAAGTTCCCGCAAAGGAAGTCTAGTCTCTCTACAGTCTCACTCTTTCTTCTCTCCTTCTTTTCCCTCCCAAATCCAATCCCAGATTTTGCAAAGTGACGGAAATGTCACTCACCCGCACCTCAATTCACCGATTCCGTTACATCTACCGCACCATATCATCACCGTCATCAACTTCTATTACCACTCGCTTTCAATTTCAACGCATCATCACCTCTCATCCCATTCCCAAACCCTTCCAATTCAACTCTTCTTACTCCTCCTCCTCCTCCTCCTCCTCACTCAAACAAGACTTCATCGGCGACGGCGATGGCGCGTATCCCACCGGTGACTTCAATTTTGAACCAGTTACCGGCTTCAACAAGTTCACCGTCAAGCTAAAGACGCTAATAGCCTTACCTTGGGAGCGTGTTCAACACGGCAGCATCTTGAAAATCGTTTTGCGCGGCCAGGTTTCCCCTTCTACCTCATTTCTCACTCATACTATTTCTTTCATTCGTTTTTCATTTCATTTCGCATTTTATGTAGATATCCGATCAACTGAAAAGTAGATTCTCCAAGGGATTATCTCTCCCTCAAATTTCTGATAATTTTTTGAAAGCAACTTACGATCCTCGTGTTTCTGGCGTATATCTTCATATCGATACTTTAAATTGCGGTTGGGCTAAAGTTGAAGAAATTCGAAGACAGATCTTAAATTTCAGAAAATCAGGTGCATAACATTTTAATATTGACATGATATAATGTGCTTATCCGCTATAATTAGGTTGCTTATTCATCACTCACTTGCTACTTTTACCAAACAAAGCCTAAGAAGGTGTAATGCTTTGTAAACTTATATTCTGGTGTCTCGTGTAACAATTCAATAGATTTATCTTTATCTATCTATGTTAATTATTTGTGACATGTATGTAAGTAGCTCGGTTCTGTTGCCTAAGTTTGTAATTTTTTCTTTTCGTAGAGCAATGACGTATGTGATTTTCTGTTATGTTTGCTGCATGACAGTGAGTGCATATGAATGATATATGATTTTACTCTTTAAATCCTCTAATGCTTTGACGCACAGTACTGATTTTTGTTACTTATGAAAGACCTTATAGTTGATGATGCTTGTAGGGAAATTTGTTGTGGCTTACGTCCCTTCATGTCGAGAAAAAGAATATTACATTGCTTGTGCATGTGAAGAAATATATGCCCCTCCAAGTGCTTATTTTTCTCTGTTTGGATTGACTGTTCAAGCTGGATTTGTCAGAGGTATGCTAATTCTGCTTTTCGTTGCACCTTTTTATACAAAGTTTGACTTTTAGTAATGGTAGCATATGGAGAAATTTGTTGTTATGCGCTTTAAAATTTAAATTTGTTGATGTTTATACTTAAGCCTAACACTCATTCTTTCAGGTTTATTTGACAACCTTGGAATTGAACCACAAGTTGAAAGAATTGGAAAATATAAAAGTGCAGGAGATCAACTAACCCGTAAAACCATGACTGAAGATAATCGTGAGATGCTGACCACATTGCTGGATAATATCTATTCAAATTGGCTGGATAAAGTCTCTTCTGCTAGAGGTGCATTTGCATTTGAATTCTTATTAGTATCTTAATTCTTAAATAAATAAATGAATTAACTTCTTGGCTTCTGCTAATTCTATATAGGAAAGAAAAGAGAAGATATTGAGAACTTTATTAACGAAGGTGTGTATCAAGTTGACAAACTGAAAGAAGAGGGTTTCATATCATGCATACTTTATGATGACGAGGTACTACTTTGTATTATGTGACTGATTATTTACATTCAGAAACAATGATTTTGAACGACTCCCTTGTGGAGCCTGTTGAAATTATAGGGTTTTTAGACTTTTTGGTATAATGGAAAATACTTTAAATTTGATATTTACTTTAAATTTACTTGATATTTAAATTACGTAACCAAAAAAAAAAACTTTAAATTTGATATTAGAGCTGATATATTGGATGTGTTAGATAGAACAAAATACTAAGCTTTGTTTATACTTGTACTAGCTGTGAAAAATAGAAATCAGAATTTTCAGAATGTGCTTGAGTGAGTAAAACACTCAGCAACCATGATATTTATATGCACTATATAATTAATTGCATATTATGTTTACAAGGAGAAATAAATAATAGTCCAACTTCCTAAATGCATGAATCAAAATATACATGAACCTAAGACTTAAATGCTCGTTTTAGTGGGAAATATACAATGCATTTTTTTATTTCCAACACTAGCTTTAGATCCTAATTAAATAGGAAAGAGATCACACAATCAACAGATATAAGAAAATGTGAAATCAATTGTAAGAAACCACCTAACATACTAAAAAGTGTTATTAATGAGAATTTTCATAAATTGAACACTCCCTCAAACTAAACCTTGCTTCGCTTTGTGAGACTTTTAGTGGAGGCTTTAAACCCCGAAAGAATCTTTAGAAAACAAAAATAACCGAACCCGAAATTACTTGAGCTCCTCAAAGTATGGCTAGAAAAGGAAAATTCGGATGTTGCAGACTTTGGAGAGATGGACGTTTCTAGAAAGAGAGTTCAACAAGGTTTCTAGAATGTTTGGCATCCATGAAAACCAATTGGAATGTTGCATGACTAAATATATTTTGTTGGAATCATTATTGACAGAAACTTCCTTGCAAGTGATATAACTGGAACAAAACTTCTCCAAATTCATCAAGAATAACATTTAGAAATTTCAAGCCGTAAGAAAATACCCCAAAATGGACATTAAGTTGAGGCGGCTAGTGTGCGCCACATCCATGAAAAATTCAGCTTTGGTGTGGCTCATGAATAAGGTAGGAAAAACCACCATCTGTGCAGTTTACAATGGGAGGACGGTGTGCATGTGAGTCGTTTCATCATTAGTACATCATTTTATGACTCAATTGAAAGAAATAAATCACGAGAATGACTGTAGATGGAAAAACATTACCACAAAAACATCATTGCCAAAAGGATGTCTACTCCAATGGGTGATAACCTAAAACTGTCCAAGAAAACCTGTCAATTTCCATCTCAACCTCTTGAAAGTTGGGAAGCAGTCAAGAGAATCATAAGGTACCTTTGATGTGCTCAGCACCATGGCCTTCTACTTAATCCTACTATTTTTTCCAAACCTCTATCTACCATTGCCTTCTTTGTTGCTGACTGGGGTGCTAACCAAAATGATAGAAAGTCAACCTCTGGCTCCTGCATCTACCGAGGACTAAATCTGGTCTCCTGGTGGTCCAAGGAACAAACTTTAGTTGCCAGATCAAGCCTCGAGGTTAAGTATAGGAGCCTTGCAACATAGCAATAGGGGTGCTTTGATTGCGACACTCTTGAAAGAACTCAAAGTCAACTTTCAACACACCTATTATATTTTGTGACAGCTTACGGATTGTAACTCTATCTCACAATCCAGTGTTGCATGCCAAGACAAAGCATACAGAACATGATATATTCTGTCCAAGGGAAAAGATGATCAACTGGAGTCTTACTGTAAGCGTATACCTGAAACTGATCAATATGTCAATCTGTTGATCAAGTCCCCATCCTTCTCAGGTTTCTCATTCTAAGGGATAAGCTTAAAGTTGTTAACAAGGGCTCTCTAACATATCAAATCCACTTGGATTTGAAAGGGAGATATTAGAGTAAATAGTGTTAGTAACTGAATGTAACTGTTTTGTTGAGCAAAATAGAATAACAAACTGTGGAATAATCAATAGAGAATCAAAACGATTCTGTTTGTACAGCCCATTAGGATTAGGATCATTGTAATTAGTTAGCTATTATTTCCTGTTTTTTCTATAATTAGAATTAGCTTTTATGGGAAATTAATTCCCCTGATTCTTAGGGCAGATTTCTCTTTCAAATACTGCCTTCTATATTCTATAAATACAGCGTATGTAATTCTCATTAGACAAGGAAATATAAAATATATTCCTACATGGTATCAAAGCACGATCTGAACCATCCCTAACCTAGCGCCGCCAAACTATGGAGGATCCCAAAGTTGATGAATTGCTCAAAGTGGAGACTGGATCATTTCCAACTAGTTCACACGAAGGGCTCACTCACCTCATCATAGACCATAAATTAAATGGTCAAAACTATATCCAATGGGTAAGGTCAGTCAAGATCTTCCTCGAAGGAAAAGGAAGGGAAGGCTACACCACAAGAGATTCTAAATGTCCCGAGAGCGGAGACAAAAACTTTCAGAAATGGAAACTTGAGAACAGCCAAGTAATGTCATGGCTGCTCAATACCATGACAAATGAAATCGGTGAAAATTTCATGTTCTATGACACTGCAAAAGAAATATGGGATGCAGTAAAGGAAACATACTCAAATGTTGACGATACATCTGTCATATTTGAGATAAAAAGCATTCTTCATGACCTTCGATAGGGAGAATCTTTTGTTACCGAGTATTTTAACATACTTAACAAACACTGGCAACAACTCGACATATATGAAGAGGTTACATGGTGTTGCTCAGAAGATCAAAAGAAGTATAAGGAACTGGTGGAAAAAGATAGGATTTACAAATTCCTACTGGGACTAAACAAGAATCTAGATGAAGTTCGTGGAAGGATTCTTGGAACTAAACCACTTCTCAAAATTCGAGAAGCCTTTTCAGAAGTGAGAAGGGAAGAAAGCAGGAGGAAAATCATGTTGGGGACACCTAACTCAGTTCCATACAGCGAGAGCTCTGCAATGGCAGCAAGAGGGAATCAGCCCCGGCCACCGCAAAAGAAAACTCGCCCCTGGTGTGATCACTGCAAGAGACCAGGCCACACAAAGGAAACTTGTTGGATCATACATGGAAAACCTTCAGAGGCAAAACTGTTCAAAGGCAAGGAAGGCATAGGTAACACAGCATGTAACAATCAAGAAAGTGAGGTATACCCTAACTCATCTCCTTTTAGCAAAGAACAAATGGAGGCTCTTCAAAAACTCTTTCAGCAAACCATGTTAACTGCAGAAAAAAGTGGTACTGCTGTAGTGGCTCAAAGAGGTAATTACTTACATGCTCTAAACACTAGTAAGAAAAAAACAGAATCATGGATTGTTGACTCAGGGGCTTCAGATCATATGACTGGAGATTTTACTTTGTTTAATAGTTATTCTCCATGTACCTATAACTATAATGTTCGAATAGCTGATGGTACACTCTCTAAGGTCATGGGTAAAGGATCAATTATCATTTCACCAAATATTACACTTCACTCTGTTTTGTACGTGCCCAAACTGGATTGTAACTTGCTGTCTATTAGCAAGATTACAAGAGATTTGAAATGTGTTACTAAATTCTTCCCTAACTTGTGTGAATTTCAGATTTTGGAGTCGGGGAAGACGATTGGCAATGCTGAAGAGTGTGCTGGACTCTACCTCCTTCAAGTGGAAAAATCAGAAGAAAAACTCAAGAATAATTATCGTATTGCAGCTGCAGTTTCAAATGATAATAATCCTGTAATGATGTGGCACTATAGATTAGGCCACCCAAATTTCACATACTTGGAAAAGATGTATCCCTCTTTATTCAATAAAAACAAGGAACATTTTTAATGTGAAATTTGCCAATTATCAAAACATACCCGAAACCATTACTCACCCCAATCCTATAAACCCTCCAAACCTTTTTCATTAATTCATAGTGATGTATGGGGACCATCACGAGTCCACAACATTACAGGCTCGAGATGGTTTGTCACCTTTATTGATGATCACACACACGTGTTACTTGGGTGTTTCTAATGAAGGAAAAATCAGAAGTAGGGAGAATATTTGAAATTTATCATAAGATGATACAAACACAATTCCAAAGCAATTTTCAGATACTTAGAATTGACAATGGTCGTGAGTATTACAACCTTGCTCTAAATTCCTATCTTCAAAAGGTTGGAATTGTTCACCAAAGCTCATGTGTGGACACTCCCAAACAAAATGGAGTAGCAGAAAGAAAGAATATACACCTTTTGGAAGTGACTAGATCAATCATGTTGGCCACAAATGTCCCACAACACTTTTGGGGAGAAGCTGTCCTTTCAGCAACTCACCTTATAAATCGAACACCCTCTCGTATCTTTAACTTTAAGACCCCACTCTCCACACTTCAAAACCTATTTCCAACCAGCAAAATTTTTTCCTCCATTCCATTAAAAATATTTGAATGCTCAACTTTTGTCCATAACCTCAACCCTCACCAAAGCAAATTAGATCCAAAATCCATCAAATGGATTTTTTTAGGTTACTCTCCGCACCAAAAGGGATATAGGTGTTACTCTCCCCATACCAAAATTTTTACCACACTATGGATGTAACCTTCTTTGAAAATCAGCCCTATTACACCAAAACTGGTATTTAGGGGGAGCAATCATACATCGAAAATTCAGAATACCAACTTTTGCTTTTTGAACCTCTTGAACTTATCGAACATGACAAAATCTTACCAAACCAAACCGGTAACACTCAATCAGCCGAACCTATGCCTAAATCAGTTGAAAAATCACCAAACCAAACCTCTAACATTCAGCCGAGTGAAAGGACAGCAGAAGCTGTAACGGACACAGAACCAATTATAGTCTCAACCACATCTCAAGATAATTGTGATCTAAAAACAGGCAAGTGGAAGGGTATTTGTTACAAAAAGAAGAGGAAGGAATTAGAGTCAAGTACAGCTCCGACGCAAGGCCATGAGTCAGACCAGACTCTAGAAAATGAAGTTCCCACAGGTAATATTCTTCCTAACTCTGAACATGTTGATATAAATACTACTGATATTGATATTCCTATAGCTATGAGAAAAGGGGTTAGAACTTGCACTAAACACCCTATTGAAAAATATATCTCCTATGGAAAACTATCAGAAAGTTACAGGTCCTTTGTAGCAGCTGTTGACAACATAGAAATTCCAAATAATATTCAAGAAGCACTGCAGAAACCTGAATGGGCAGCAGCTGTAACAGAAGAAGTTCAAGCACTTGTAAGAAATGACACATGGGAGATCACTCCTAAACACCCTATTGAAAAATATATCCCCTATGGAAAACTATCAGAAAGTTACAGGTCCTTTGTAGCAGCTGTTGACAACATAGAAATTCCAAATAATATTCAAGAAGCACTGCAGAAACCTGAATGGGCAGCAGCTGTAACAGAAGAAGTTCAAGCACTTGTAAGAAATGACACATGGGAGATCACTGCTATACCAGAAGGGAAGAAAGCAGTAGGATGCAAGTGGATATTTTCAATTAAGTAGGATGCTGATGGGAGTATAAACAGGTACAAAGCTCGGTTGGTTGCTAAGGGGTTCACACAATCATATGGGATGGATTATGAGGAAACTTTTGCACCTGTTGCGAAACTCAATTCTGTCCGGGTTCTACTATCTCTGGCAGCAAATCTAGATTGGGCCTTACACCAACTAGACATAAAGAATGCATTTCTAAATGGGGAGTTACAAGAAGAGGTATACATGCAAATTCCGCCGGGACTTGAATCACCTGGAACCTCCAACATGGTGTGTCGACTTCGAAAATCTCTATATGGCCTCAAACAATCACCGAGGGCATGGTTTGACAGACTAACAAAAGTTGTCAATCAAGATGGTTTTGTTCAATGTCAAACAGACCATACTATGTTTGTCAAGCACTCTTTGGATGGGAAGATAACTTTGTTTATTGTCTATGTTGATGACATCGTAATTACGGGAGATGATGATAAACAAGTCAACCAGTTAAAGAAACTTCTAGCCAAAGAATTTGAAGTCAAAGACTTAGGACAACTCAAGTATTTTCTAGGGATGGAAATTGCACGAACAAAGAATGGTATTTCAGTTTCTCAAAGGAAGTACACTTTGGATTTGCTTCAAGAAACAGGTATGCTTGGATGCAAAGCTGCCAATACTCCCATAGAACAAGTAAAAAGGAGTGAAGATGAAAATATACCGGCTAATAAAGATAGATATCAAAGTCTAGTCGGAAAACTAATCTATCTAACTCACACCAGACCAAACATTGTTTTTGCTGTAAGCTTAGCTAGTCGTTATATGTCAAATCCAACTGAAATTGACATGAAAAATGTGAACAAAATTCTCCAGTACCTGAAAGGTACACCGGACCGAGGACTTTATTTTCAAAAGAACTCAAACATAGGCATTGAAGTCTACACTGATTCTGACTGGGCAAGATGTTTATCTGACAGGAAATCGACTACAGGCTACTGCACAGTTGTATGGGGTAATATGGTAACTTGGAGAAGCAAGAAACAATCTGTTGTGGCTAGGAGTAGCGCAGAAGCAGAATTCAGAGCTATGTCACAAGGTATTTGTGAAGGAATTTGGCTTAAGCGAATGCTAAATGAGATCAAAATTCCTACCAATCACCCCATGAAGATATTATGTGATAACAAGGCTGCTATTAGCATTGCGAAGAACCCGGTACAGCATGATAGAACAAAACATGTAGAGATAGACCGACACTTCATCAAAGAGAAAATTGATCATGAAATTATAAGTGTTAACCATATTCCATCATGCCAGCAAACTGCAGACATTCTAACAAAAGCCCTTTCGAGGAACATATACGAGAATATCAGATCCAATCTGGGTATGATAGACATCTACCACCCAGATTTAGGGGGAGTGTGGAATAATCAATAAAGAATCAAAATGATTCTGTTTGTACAACCCATTAGGATTAGGATCATTGTAATTAGTTAGCTATTATTTCTTGTTTTTTCTATAATTAGAATTAGCTTTTATGGGAAATTAATTCCCCTGGTTCTTAGGGCAGATTTCTCTTTCAAATACTGCCTTCTGTATTCTATAAATACAGCGTATGTAATTCTCATTAGATAAGGAAATATAAAATATATTCCTACACAAACTTGTAACTAACTCTGCTGAGTCGGCACAACGGTAACTGATTGTGTAACTAACTTAGTCAGTTAGATCACTTTATAAATAGTTTTGTGAGAGTTGTTGCAATGTAACTAATTCATTATAATCAATTAATTACACAAATTTCTTCTTTCTCTGATTTCTAGAAAATGAATTCATCTTCATCTTTCACATTCTAATACAACTCACCCCTCTTAAGAGCGGGGACGCACACACTAACACACGCACACAAACACTAACACTTACGCTAACATTAACACCAACACACACACACAAAAACACCAACACCAACACTAACACTAACTAGAGTACTAGGTTAATTTTTCACCCATAGATGTTGGGGAAGCCAATACTGGCATTGTTGAAACAGAGGGAATAGTCTTGCTGAAGCATTTTTTTCTTCAAAGTAAAAACCCCAAAAAAACTCAGAAGTTTGACTTTAAGCAACAGGATGAGAATTACCTGGGACAACAATGAGGATGCAAACTATCAAAACAATGTGAGAAGGTCCTGAAAGGTGCGTATCAATGGTCCAGTAGTTGAACAATACTAATCAAAGGGGAAGATGAGTTGGATGAGTTATAAAAGGCTAAACTTTAATCCCTATTTATACTTGTACTACACTCGCAATCCTAATTAAATATGGACATTATCAAGAAGTAAGGCAAATTCAAAACCAATCCTAAGAGATCAGACCTTAGATACTCTAAAATTTAATGAATTACAAAATTAATTTTGGAAGTTTTTTTTTATATTCTCTAACAATAGAGCCACTCCTTCCTTTGTATAGATAATTAATACTCCCTCCGGTCTCATTTATAAGAAAAAATTAACTTTTTAGATACATTAAATAAGTAATGTATTTGGACAATATATAATATATTGTCCAAATACATTACTTATTCAATGTATATAAAAAGTTAATTTTTTCTTATAAATGAGACCGGAGGGAGTATTGGCTATTAAAATGTTTCAGAGGTTACAATCAAAAGGGATATAAGACTTAAATGAATGAAAAACATAAATGTTTTGTAGGTTATGACTAAGTTGAAGGAGAGACTTCGGGTGAAAACAGACAAAAATCTGCCTGTGGTTGATTTCAGGTAAATTTCCCTTTTAGAGTTGAGCCTTTTTATTGTATTATGCTATTTCTTCAGCTTTGATAAAGGTTTACTTGAAAAATGTCTAGAAATCCTTAGTTTGATGAAATTCATCTGTCTTGGTTTTATTTTCATGTTCGGAAGTCTACAATAAAGTTTTGTGACTATGATAATGTTAGACCTCTCATTAAGGAATATTGTAGGAGATGGGGCAGAAAAGACCAAAATTGACTTTGGTCAGTTTGTGGCAGTTGTGGCTTAGAATCTTATCCATTAACTTTTTATTAGTTAATTGTGTCAGTTATGTTGGCTGTCAGTAAGAATAAATAGGAAGTGGGCAGGGAATAGTGGGTTATCTTGGAGTTAGTGGAATAGATCCAAACATTTGGGAAGGGGAGAGGTAATATCGGCGGTTTCGTAAGTTTTCCAAAGCTCCAAAATATCGGCGAAATCATGATGGCTTGCTAAATTCTTATATTATCAAACAAGCTTAAGTGCATGGAGCTTCCAGAATCCTAAGGACGAAAGGGACTGAACCAAGATTTATAGCCGATATGCAAGCTTGAAAGATATCCAAAAAAGGCATTGGGTTTGACACTCTGGTTTATTAATCGCGACGACTTCGTTTCAAATAAGTATCCCATTTCGTCTACCATAACTTGTCTGAAAATTCCATCTCAAGTTTGCTATTCCATGTTCACGTTTGTTACGCATGAGTGATGTCATGACCCTCTGATGTATAGTCTTAGCATTGAAAAGAAGTAACAAGGCTTCTAATTCAGCGACAATACATTCTGGTGCTTGAGTTTAAAAACCTATCTATGGCTTAGCATGTAACTGTATTCCACTTGCTATAAGGTTAATATTTCAACCAGCTCACTTTGGTAAAAATTGACAGGATTGGTAATATACTGGCAATACCGAAAAGTCAAAGTCCTGGTGGTATACTCAGCTTTCCGGTCTCAGACAAGCTGACCAAGCTAAAATCTTAAAAGCGCAGACTTATCAGGCAGGGTAGCTGGAAAAACCAAGAATCCTTTTCTCCGGCGCGGGCAGGAAGCACCCTACTCTTTTTTAATCTTGAAGCATAGATTTACCAAACAAGATCTCCGACGAAGTCTGAGGAGAAAGTCTTCCTTAGGCGGGATGACTCTGGGTCAAAGCGTTTCATCTTATTCCGACAAAGCCTCACGCTTGAGGGGATTATATAGACATTCCGATTAGGTGTAAACAACCCAGTTTTAAGCTAGTAAAACCTAGCAAAACACAGATTTATACTTTATGCTAATTAGTATTGTTGTATAAAGGCGAGCTATCGTCTCTGCCGTTTGTAAACTAGCTCATTTAGATTTGTTAAAAGAGGAAAATAGTGTCGTCCTTTTCCCCTTAGTGGGCGGGAGACACCCTATATTTGTTAAGTCTCAAAGTTAGGTGAGATTTGTAACAATATGCAAAAGAATATGTAATCGGTTATGGCCGAGTAGCACAAGTATAAACACCTGGCCCAAACCTTTAGGTCAATCTTGTTAGGGACTCTGAATCAAAACTGAAGTCCAAGCGCACTTGAAGTCTCTGGCACAAAAATCTCTCTGAGCTCTGCACCTTGGTTTCGATCTGGGCCAGTTCAGGTGTATCCTCTCCGAGCTCTACACCTTGGTTCCGATCTGGGCCAGCTCAGGTGTAACCTCTCAAGGCTCTGCACCTTGGATCATATCTTGATTCTACTCAAGTGCAACCTCTTCGGCGACGTACCTTAATTGGATTCCGCCAGAGTCTGCCCAAGGGCATTCTCGAAGGCTCTGCACCTCTTTTCAAGTCTTGAACTGCTCGAGGGCAACCTTTCGGATTTAAACTCCTTGCCAAGTGGTACTCCCTTCGAGGTAACTCCCGAGCAAAATAATCTTTCCGGGCTTCGCACCTTGGTTCTTATCTGGCCCAGCTCAGGTGCAAGCTCCCAGGCGATGTACCTTAGTCGGATTCCGCCCCTTCGAAGGTCCTACACCTCGGTTCATATCTTGATCCGTTTTAGGTGTAACCTTTCCGACAATGTACCTTAATTGGATTCTGCCTCTTCGAAAGGCTCTACACCTCGGTTCATATCTTGATCCGCTTCAAGTGTATCCTTTCCGGCGATGTACCTTAATCGGATTTCGCCCATTTGAAAGGCTCTGTACCTCGGTTCATATCTTGATTCGCTTCAGGTGTAACCTTTCTGGAAATGTACCTTAATCGGATTCCGCCCCTTCGAGAGGCTCTACACCTCGGTTCATATTTTGATCCGCTTTTTCTGCGATGTACCTTAATCGGATTCCGCCCTTTCGAAAGGCTCTATACCTCGGTTCATATCTTGATCTGTTTCAGGTGTAACCTTTCCGACGATGTACCTTAATTGGATTCCGCCCCTTCGAAAAGCTGTACACCTCGGTTCATATCTTGATCCGCTTCAGGTGTAACCTTTCCGACAATGTATCTTAATCGGATTCCGCCCCTTCGAAAGGCTCTGCACCTCGGTTCATATCTTGATCCGCTTCAGGTGTAACCTTTTCGGCGATGTACCTTAATCGGATTCCTCCCGTTCGAAAGGCTCTACGCCTCGGTTCATATCTTGATCAACCTTTCCGGTGATGTACCTTAATCGGATTCCGCCCCTTCAAAAGGGTCTACACCTCGGTTCATATCTTGATCCGCCTTTCCGCCGATGTACCTTAATCGAATTTCGTCCCTTCGAAAGGCTCTACACCTCGGTTCATATCTTGATCCGCTTCAGGTGTAACCTTTCCGGCGATGTACCTTAATCGGATTCCGCCCCTTCGAAAGATTTTGTATCTCGGTTCATATCTTGATCCGCTTTAGGTGTAACCTTTCCGGCGATGTACCTTAATCGGATTCCGCCCCTTCGAAAGGCTCTATACCTCGGTTCATACCTTGATCCGCTTTAGGTGTAACCTTTCCGGTGATGTACCTTAATCGAATTGCGCCCTTTCGAAAGGCTCTACAGCTCGGTTCATATCTTGATCCGCTTCAGGTGTAACCTTTCTGGTGATGTACCTTAATCGGATTCCGCCATTTCGAAGGCTCAACACCTCGGTTCAAAACTTGAGCCGCCTCAGGTGTAACCTTTCCGGGCTAGGCACCTCGGTTCATATCTTGATCCGTCTCAGGTGTAACCTTCCGAACATTACACCTCGGTTTAAACTTAAGCCGCCTCAGGTGTAATCTTCCAGGTGTGTACTTTAACCAGACACACTCAAAAGTTGCACCCCTGAGCCGACTAGGGTCAACTTTATAGCCCGTGTATTTGGCCTTTATATATGGACAGGGGCTAGCACCCCCCGGTCGGCCTATACGCAAACAAAGAGGTTGACTCCCATCGTGGTACTCCTTGCCAAGTGGTAACTCCCTTTGTGGTAACTCCCGAGCAAAAACTTAAGACAATGCGCACTCTAAGCCTCTCACACATCTCAGGGTATGAAAGTAACCAGATTAAGTCGATGCGCACTCTAAGCCTCCCATACGGTCAACCTCGCCAAGGCTCTCAAACCTTGCAAGGGGCTTTGAAACTTTAAAACGGTTAAGCCTCCGGGCCTCTGTCCGCATAAGCCAGATAAGCCTCTAAGTCTTTCTCGCAAACTCGCTCAAGGCATCTTTCTACATCAGTTAAACACTCCCCTCACAAGGGTCGAGTAACATCAACACTCCCCTCACAAGGGTCGAGTAGCATTAACACCCCCCTCATAAAGGTCGGGTAGCACAAGCCGTACGCTCCCCCATACAAAGAAAAGTGAGTCTTAAAATAAACTCCGGGGAATTATTGTGAAAGATAGACATGTAAATAGTTGGGGCTTTTTATAAAAATCGGCACTACATTATCGGACACGTACAACCCGATAAAGACTCTATGTCCGAGGGGCTTATATATATGCACCGGATTATCTTCAAAGCCATAAATTCACGAACCAAAGAAATGCAAAAGCTAAAGATACAGATAAACAGAAAGCATCAGTTACAAAGCCACGACGGGTATGTTAAAATACAAAACCCAGATGCAGAAGACATGATTATAAAATACTCCTTGTACAAGAGACATAAACTTTACACTCCTCATCAAAAAGAGTTGAGTACATGACCGGAGTGAAATCAGGCCCATTCGGTCAACCCGCCTCAGAGTAAAAAAAATCTGAACCACAAAATGGTCAAACACCGCGACTCCTCGGCTATATTAATATGCCTCGAGCCCGGACAAGTTACCAAAACCTCTGAGCATTATCTAATGAAGTCTGGGGCTTTCGATTGACTTCACGTCCAGGATGAAAATAACAAACATGCAGAGCCAAGCCATTGGTTGTTCTAAAAAAATCCAGGCAAGCTTGGAGCTCATACGAGCGTAGACTCCCATCCTACAAAATTACCCGGATAGACCGGAGACCATTGAACATATGTCAGGGATACGAACCGAACCCACAACCCGACCGGGGCTGCGATAGGTTCGAAAAATCCCAAAACAAAACATAATTACAAATCTCCAAAAGGCAAAGTTGTTCATCACAAAGCTCAGGGGCTGAAATCAAAGTCTATCCCAAAACACGCAGATTATTTGGAATACCAATTACCAGAAAATAACTATTCTGGTCACCAGGGGGTATTAACCCAATCTCAGATCTGGGGCTCGCCGACAATGGTGTTCGTCTTTGGGCCGGTTCCTTTCCTCTTCTTCACCGTTCTAAGTTCGAAACCAGTCAAGTCTATACCTAAAAAACTAGGTGACTGTTGGGGGAACTAGGGCGTGAGCGTCACGGATGTCGGTAAGGAACTCGACAATCGTCCGATTATAGGAGCCTGGCCCGAAGCAAAAGATCAATATTTACGTTGACCGAACATAGGGTTTCAAATAAAGTCATATGCTCGTGGGACTTATGTTCATACGTAGATCCATTGTCTGGGCTAGGAGAGATAAAAAAGCAAGATATCGATAAAAGGTCAAGGAGGACAAATAAATGCTAAGC